CTGTTCCCTTCACTGACCTTCGTACTGCCTTCCTTCTTTCTAGTCCACCTCGTCCGTCTCAGTCTGTGCTTCCGTCTCCTCCTGAGTCGGCCCTCACTGTGTCGCTCCCTACTCCTGTCACTGACTACTACCGCACGTACCGTCCTGTTCTCTCTCGTGTTCTCGCCTCTCTCGTTACTCACCCTCGTGCCTCTGTGTCCTCTGTGTCCGCTCTTACTGCCGCAGTTACTGACTTTGCCTCTACCCGCCGCCTTGACTACGCCACCACGCTTGTGGCTGCTCCTCCTACCAGTCCTCTGGCCGTCGGGGGTGTGTCTGCCCTTGGCTGTGACGCCCTAGAGGACAGGCAGTTTGAGCTAGAGTTCCTGGCGGCCGCTTCCCCTCATCTCTGTGCCATGCTCCTCGCCCCTGAGGGTGACCCCGACGCCCTTGACATTCCGACTCCTCGCACTTACGCTGAGGCAGTGTCAGGGCCTTGGGCCTCTCAGTGGAGAGCTGCCATGGACGCAGAGATGGCCTCCTACAGATCCACAGGCACCTACGTCGATGAGGTTCCCCCCCCTGGGGCGAACGTAGTCGACGGCATGTGGATCTACAGGGTGAAGCGGCCACCGGGATCTCCCCCGGTCTTCAAGGCGCGCTACGTGGCTAGAGGTTTCAGTCAGCGCGAGGGAGTTGACTTCTTTCAGACCTTCGCACCTACCCCGAAGATGACCACTCTTCGGGTGTTACTACACGTAGCAGCACAGAGAGACTACGAGTTACACTCTCTTGACTTCTCCACTGCTTTCCTTCAGGGCAGCCTACACGAGGAGGTCTGGTTGCGTCGTCCCTCGGCCTTCACTGGCACCTTCCCTCCTGGGACCCAGTGGAGGCTGAGACGACCTGTTTACGGTCTTCGCCAGGCCCCTCGTGAGTGGCACGACACTCTGCGTTCTACCCTCTCTGACCTTGGGTTCCAGCCGTCTTCTGCCGACCCGTCGCTGTTCGTTCGTCGTGGCTCCACACCGTTCTTTGTTCTGGTTTACGTCGACGACCTCGTTTTCGCCACTCCGGACAGGGTTGCTTTGGCAGACGTGAAGTCCGAACTGCAGAAGAGACACACGTGCACTGATCTTGGTGAACTGCGCCACTACCTTGGCCTGCAGATCACCAGGGACAGAGCCGCTCGCACCATTACACTCTCACAGTCACACATGGTGCAGCAGGTCCTTCAGCGGTTCGGGCTTCAGCACTCCACCGTACAGCGCACACCTCTAGCTGTTGACCACAGACTCACTGGTCCCTTTCCTGACGAGCCGTTTGAGCCTAGTGGTCCCTACGCAGAGCTTGTGGGTTGCCTCATGTACCTGATGACTTGTACTCGCCCGGACCTCGCCTTCCCTCTCAGCATCCTTGCGCGCTTTGTTGCGCCAGGGAGACACCGTCCTGTTCACTGGACGGCAGCTGTGAGGGTGGCGAAGTACCTAGCGACTACATCAGGCGTGGGGCTAGTTCTTGGAGGGCAGCAGTCTGTCGTACTTACTGGTCACTGTGACTCCTCTTACGCTGACGACGCTGAGACTCACAGGTCTACTCAGGGGTACTGTTTCAGTCTGGGTTCTGGAGCTGTTTCCTGGCGTTCCACGCGCTCCTCTTCTGTCTCGACCTCTACAGCTGAGGCTGAGATTTACGCTGGTGCCATGGCGGCACAGGAGTTGCGGTGGTTGACCTTCTTGCTCACTGACCTTGGTGAGCGGCCGAGCTCTGCACCGACCTTGTTTACTGACAACAAGGCGTCGATCCTCCTCTGTCGTGAGCCGCGACTGGAGAGCAGAGTGAAGCACATTCACATCAGGTACTTTCTTCTGCGAGAGTTGCAGAGGCGTGGACAGGCTCGCTTCGAGTTCGTAGAGTCCGAGGCCAACACTGCAGACATCTTCACCAAGGCGCTTCCGCCTTGTGACCACCAGAGGTGTTGTGTGCAGTTAGGCCTTGTTGACACAGGTTCTAGTCATGCGTAGACTTGAGTTTATTGCCTGCTTCGTCTGTACATTTACTATATATACTTGTGATCTCTTGGACTGGCCTTGTGGCCACTGTTGCTTGTGCTCAGAGTGTGTGGTGACGTTGTGATCCACCCTGAGCTTTGTTTTCTTTTGGACTGGTCTTGTGACCGTACTCTTTTTGTTTTTGCTAGACACCCCTCACTTAGGCTATGGGGGTGTGTCAAATGTTGTAGCCTGTAGTGAGGTTTGTCTTAGGGGGTACAGAAGTTAGGGTTTGTCATATGTACCCCAACCAACATCAATGCAACACTCATTCCTCATTCTGACAGTCTGGCCTGTTCTGCTCTGGCTGGCTACTGATTCGCTTGCGACGCTTATCTTGCAGAAGGGGCCATTCGATCTGCAATGTGGTGTAGTAGGGTTGGGTGGGTGGTTTATGAGGAGGGTAGGTTACGGGTAAATGAGGCAACTGAAAGCGGTGATGCAGTCGTCACTATCTACGTAACTGCAAAGGCCTAATCGACCAGGGATTAGGGTTGAAGTACAGGCAAGGGGTTAAGGGGATGAGGCATGGGGGTACAAACACATATCTACATCCTTACCGAAAACAGGCCCCATGCCACCATGCGGCTCTTGAACTTGGTGAACACCGCCCCGCCCCTCTTGAAGGAGATCTTGAATGCATAAGCGAACAAGGGGTTGCTGAAGGGCGTCCCGGTGGCCTTGTCAAAGTGCCAGTTGAGGGCCCACTGTTCTGTTTTTTGGCAGGGAGGGTATGGGTTGGAAAGGGTTTTGTAGAGAAATCAAGTGGGGGGATGAGTGTCAGGGTGAGCCACATCGCACGGTGATATGTAGCTGCCAACTGACATATGGTAGGGCATATTGTGTTTTCGAGTTGCACATACCATCTCTGTACTCGGCTAGGAGTTGAACGTCATCGAACCAGGTCGTTGGGTGTAGCTCAGTGGGCAGGCTATCCACGAGATGGCTGTAATCAGCAAGGCCCATGCCGGTGTATGTTGCTGGCCTGAGGGTGGAGTTGATAGTTGACCTTGTTGAGGACAGCTGGTGGTTGAAGACTCCCATGGTTGACTTGTCATTGTGCAACCACAGCAGCTTCATTGCCTCGAGCCCTTCTGCAGACAAGTGGACAGAGAACGCTTCGAACACTTCCTCCGGTGCAGGGTAGTACTGTATTTTCTCCGGCGGGTTCAGAAACATGAGCTGAGAGCACACTAAGTAGGCTTTGTTCTGCGCAGTGGTGTAAGGTATACAACACGACATGGGAGAGAGAAACCAGCAGTTATGTGGGTGGCCGCGTGACCATGGGATTGTGACTAGCAACACTGTGTGAACTTGCCACGTCACACCCTGCGCCATCCGACACGTCCACCAACAACCCGGCCCATTCTGCCACGTCACACCTCCCTACCACAAGCCACGTCACCCCCCACCCACCTGACACGCCTCGCTTCGTCATGCGCAGTTGTCACGTGTACCTTTTCTAACCGCCACGTCATCCCCAACCCTCACATGCTGCCACGTCACACCCACCTGCATCCGCCACGTTATCCCCAACCCTCACCTTCCGCCACGTCAGACCCTCCTGCATCCGCCACGTCCACCAACCAGCCCCACGTGCCACATCACACCCTCCTGCATCCGCCACGTCCACCAACAACCAGCCCCACGTGCCACGTCACACCCTCCCATCCCATGCCACGTCACCCCCCCACCCACCTGACACGCGTCGCCTCGTCAGTGGCCGCTCCTGTGTACCATTCCAAACCGCCACGTCAGCCCCAACCCTCACATGCTGCCACGTCACACCCTTTTGCATCCGCCAACAACCCGCCCTACTTGCCACGTCACACCCCCACCAAGAGCGACGTCACCCCCCACCCACCTGAAACGCCTCGCTTCGTCATGCGCCGCTCACGTGTACCCTTGTAGGGTGCCACGTCATCCCCAACCCTCACCTTCCGCCACGTCACACCCTCCTGCATCCGCCACGTCCACCAACCAGCCCCACGTGCCACGTCACACCCTCCTGCATCCGCCACGTCTACCAACAACCAGCCCCACGTGCCACGTGACACCCTCCCATCCCATGCCACGTCACCCCCCCACCCACCTGACACGCGTCGCCTCGTCAGTGGCCGCTCCTGTGTACCATTCCAAACCGCCACGTCAGGCCCAACCCTCACATGCCGCCACGCCACACCCTTTTGCATCCGCCAACAACCCGCCCTACTTGCCACGTCACACCCCCACCAAGAGCGACGTCACCCCCCACCCACCTGAAACGCCTCGCTTTGTCATGCGCCGCTCACGTGTACCCTTGTAGGGTGCCACGTCATCCCCAACCCTCACCTTCCCCCACGTCACACCCACCTGCATCCGCCACGTCTTCCCCAACCCTCACCTTCCGCCACGTCACACCCTCCTGCATCCGCCACGTCCACCAACAACCAGCCCCACGTGCCACGTCACACCCTCCTGCATCCGCCACGTCCACCAACAACCAGCCCCACGTGCCACGTCACACCCTCCCACCCCATGCCACGTCACCCCCCACCCACCTCTCACGCGTCGCCTCGTTACGCGCGGCTCCTGTGTACCATTCCAAACCACCACGACAGCCCCAACCCTCCCATTCTGCCACGCCACACCCTTTTGCATCTGCCAACAACCCGCCCTACTTGCCACGTCACACCCCCCACCAAGAGCCACGTCACCCCCCACCCACCTGAAACGCCTCGCTCCGTCATGCGGCACTCCCTTGCACCCTTTCACACCGCCACGTCATATCCCAACCCTCACCTTTTGCCATGTCACACGCACTTGCATCCGCCACGTTCACCAACAACCCGCCCCACTTGCCACGTCACACCCACCCACCCCATGCCACGTCACCCCCCACCCACCTGATATGCGTCGCCTCGTCACGCGCCGCTCCCGTGTTCCCTTCGAACCCGCCACGTCAGCCCGAACCCCGACCTTGTTGCCACGTCAACCCCAGCCCGCCCCATTTGGCCCGCCACATACCGGGAATGGGTTTGTCTCCTGCAACACTAGCACTCGTGCCTTGTCCACGGCGCTCATCGGCGGCGGGGTACCAGCCATAGGCAGGGCTGCCGACCCGCCGGCATAGCTGGCAAGTACTCCACGACGCAGGCCGAGCTGTGCAAACATGGCGTACATCTCAGACCGCAGCGCCTGAAACTCCTCCCGTGTAACAAACTGCTCGTGCTCCTCACTTTCACCTAGGGCACCCATGAGCGGAGGAAAAGGGTGTGAAGAATCCCCCCTCTGGCCAAGGGTATCAACGTCTTCTGCAGCAGTCCCGTGTGCCCTCACACTATCACGCTGGCGGGAAAAGGGGAGCTCAGGGAAGGGATTGGCATAAGTGCCTGCCTGATGCCCGCGCGAAGGACCGGCGATGGGGGAGACCGCCCTGCCCCGGACAGGAGAAGCGTGGAGTTGCCGAAATGGGTACGAGGGTGAGGCGAGTGAGGAGTGCGTGACGGGGAGGGGATTCGGATTCCTCTCCTCTTGGCGCGCCGGGTGCCGTCGCAGCGACTTTGCTGGGGCCGGCCCATGGCGTGTAGAACCTTGGTGCGCCGGATGAGAGCGGCGTAACACTCGCTCTTCCGGCAGCCTTCGTTAGATGCATTCGTTGCACGCTTAAGGGCGGCCCAATGCCTGTAACGCGAGGGGCTGAGATGTAGAGGGAGTGGGAAAATAAAAATTGGAGTCGATCGGTTTCAAGACGGGGCCAGACATGCATGCATATTCAGAAAGGTTTGAATCTAGATTGGGTTTAGGGTTGTACTGGTTTGAGACAAGAGGGTTTACCTTGCTTGGCAGATTCGTCAACCTTCTCCTTCCCTGCAGGAGAGAAACAATGTGAATAAAGGGTGTTATTTGGGACGGTTTAGCAGATTGTTTAACACGTCACGCCAGTTGTATTGGACACAATGCTCACCTTTCTGTTGTCCCTTCGGTTTTGGGGCAGCCTGCGCCTTCTCGTTGCCACCTTTCCGCGGGGTGCTTCGGCGCACGCTGCGACGTTTACCGGCAGGTTCCTTCTTGCCGGTACCCACTCGAACCCCTTTGGCGCGGCCACCCTTTCCTCCTCCATCCCCTTTTGCACCCTGGCTCCCTTGCTTTTTACCAACCCCTTCACTTTCGACCTTCACCTTACGCGCCTTCGGTTTGCCCGCTGCTTCGCCGCGCGCAGCGTCACCTGCCCCGCGTTTTCGGGAAGGGCGAGTCCGGCCCCCCTCCTTCCCTGTCCCACTCACCCGACCGCCACGCCCGCCCCGTCTCTTCCCTGGCGCCACATCCTCCTCCTCCTCCTCCTCCTCCTCCTCCTCCTCCTCCTCCTCCTCCTCCTCCTCCTCCTCCTCCTCCTCCTCGTCACCCTGCTCCTCCTCCTCATCCCCCTCCTCCTCCTCCTCCTCCTCCTCCTCCTCCTCCTCCTCCTCCTCCTCCTCCTCCTCCTCCTCCTCCTCCTCCTCCTCCTCCTCCTCCTCCTCCTCCTCTTCGTCCTCCCCGCCATCATTCTCATCTTTAGCATCCTCCCCAACATCCGCGTCTTGCTCCTCCGCTTCCTCTTCATCCTCCTCTCCCTCCGCATCCTCCTCCTCATCCTCCTCCTCCTCCGTATCACCGGGGTCTTCATCGCCCCGTTTCGGCCTCGTTCCTGTCGCTGCTTTCTTGCCTCTCCTTCCGCCAGATGCTTTTCTTGCTGCGGGGCGGCCCTTCTGGCGCAATGCTTGACCGCCCGCCTTGCCACTAGCTTCCTTGGCGCCTCGCGGTGTGTCAACTTCCGCGCCTCCGGCGTTGTCAGCACTACCTGTCGTCTGGCGCCTCTTCGCCCGCGTGGTGAGGTCCCCGGGCACGGCGGTGTCATCATCCTCCTCCCCATCGCTCTTCCTTTGCCTACGCCTTCCCCGTCCACCAGAAGGAGGAGAGCCACCGACCAGCCCCACCGACTCGTGCTGTGCCACCTTGTCCTTATCCAGCACGGCTGCAGAAACTTCGACCACGCTCGGCTGGAGCAGCGTCAGATGGTGTTGCGTTGCCGCCTCCTCGGACTCCTTGGTTGCGGCATGCTCGGCGCGAGGATCGCCTCCGTGATTTCCCCCTGTCGCCGAACCCTCCATCTCCGCCGACGGGAGTGCAAGACTCGCGCTCCCTCGCCCCGGATCTTCGTTGCCGCCAGTGGTGCCGTCTTTACTCGGACCGGGCTCGTTTCCAGCAGAGGCACCATCCGCAGCTTTGTTCACTGTAGAAACACGCTTGCGTGGCGTTGGTTTAGGCCCCTTGTCTGCCGCTTTCTTGCCGGCCTCCTGTTGACCGCGCGCGACCTTTTTTGCCGCCGCTTTTTTCGGCCCAATGCCACGAGCGACGGACGCATTGTTTTTTTTAGCGCCGCCACCACTCTCACTATCGATTTGTTTAGACGTCCCCCTTGTCGCGCGGCGGCCGGCCTGTTCCTCCTCCATTGCTTGGTTACGTGTTGCACGTGTCATGGTAATCGTAGGAAGAGCAAAGTTGCAAATCGCGCGGAAGGGTTGAGCCGGTTTTGAAAGGGTTTTGCTACTGAATCCCACGAAGGCATAATCGGCCGTCTATCACTGTTATGTGTTTACGAAAACAGCCGCTTCAACTAAGTCTGAAATAGTAGCCACTATGCTTCGCGCTAAGGCCGATCTGGAGAGGCGTGTGTCAAGGCAACGAGCAGCGTCAAAGTGTTGGCCCAGGGAGTGACGGAAGCAGGTGGGTGGGGCACGAGGGTGGTTGGGGTGAGTTGCGAGACTAGAGAGAGAAATGTAACCCTATCAGGCTACATTGGACGGTGTACGTGTAGCCACCCTAGCATAAACCCACCTTCCGCTCGATCTCAGCCGCCCAATGGCTGAAGTACCTCTTGGCTGATGACTGTGTTGCGGGGGGAATCGTTTGAGATGCGTCGGCCAATGACGGTTGCCAACACATCAATCACAACAAAGGGTAAACCTAGTGTGAAACCTACAGTGCGAAATTAGTCAAATCCCTGCAAAGTACAGTGTTTTCGGTTGCAAAGTAACAACGCATTTCATCAAACTCTAAGTTGCAACTGGTTTTGTACGGGGTTGGGGTAAGTTAATCGGTGATTCTCACGTCACACACACAACGACCGTCTTGAATTATTACTTAGGAAAGATGTACTGCGCACTTTTAGGCTTTGCCACAATGGTTTAGGGCCAGCGGACGTCATTCTAACACGATTATCAATAATAACAAACGTGAATCCGTTGTGGTATGGTGTTGGATTGTCATCCATTCTTGCACAGACATTACACAAGGTGCTTAGAAGGAGTGGTATGAAGCACAGGCCCAACGCACAAGCGTAGATGCGTTATCGACAGTCATGTTTAGACTGTGCGACGATGCATCGTTCAGGCCTCCGCGTTGCGCGACTTGGTGAATCCGTTGTGGTATGGTGTTGGATTGTCATCCATTCTTGCGCAGACATTACACAAGGTGCTTAGAAGGAGTGGTATGAAGCGCAGGCCCAACGCACAAGCGTAGATGCGTTATCGACAGCCATGTTTAGACTGTGCGACGATGCATCGTTCAGGCCTCCGCGTTGCGCGACTTGGTGAATCCGTTGTGGTATGGTGTTGGATTGTCATCCATTCTTGCACAGACATTACACAAGGTGCTTAGAAGGAGTGGTATGAAGCACAGGCCCAACGCACAAGCGTAGATGCGTTATCGATAGCCATCCATTCTTGGATATTCGTTCTTCACGGTGCGGCACGATATATGTATTTGCTCCAAGCACCAATCATACGTTACGGCATGGAGTTACCGGGTAGTTCCCGTATCGTTATCGAGTAAGGATTGTTCAAGAACAGTCCCAAGGATATGAATGTTTACTATTTATGAATGATACGAGTTTCTTGTTAAGTTGTAACTGTACATATGCATTTCCAGGTTTGTTTGACGCCTCTGTAGCTCACCTACGTAATTCCGATTTTGAGGCTATATCGATTCGCGACACAATCAGAGATCCAAACGGATCTCTTCCCGCTCTTCCTCATCCTCCTCGACTCTCACGCACAGTTCATAAACACTTGTTCTAGACTCAATAGGCACGTCCTTCTCGCCTTGCTTGCGAATCACACACACGACCATGAGACTTAAGATCCAGTGCATCTACCCTGGCCACGTCGTGGTCGCTGTAAACGGGGGCGACACGCCTTGTAGGGAAGACGGCCCGTGCTATGGGCGGTCTGTATCGTGCCTGGTAACGACCACGCGGCTCGACAACGTTAGCCAGTCATATACATTAGCGCGTGCGTCAAGTGCCAGTCGTGCAGTGATACAAGCCGCCCACCACAGTGCGCGCATTGGCGATGATCGTGTAGCTGTCACAGACTTCTTGAACGGGGTAGTTAATGCGTTCACAAGCTTCATCACGGGTAGTAGCTTCATAGGCCAGGTCTCGACTCTACAACGGATCCGTAACTGATGGGCTCTTTACCAGGCGTCGTTTGCGAATTCTGCAACAGATGGTTCCCCAACGCCCAAGTTTATGGCGGTCATAAGTCACGGCGGACCCCTTGCCAAGGACTATCCGCCGTGGCGAGGCCCACGCGATCTGCACCGACCGCCGGTCTTCACGCTTTGCTATTCGTCCACGACATTCTGTCGGACGCTCCAGCCGCTCCCGGTTCACCTACAGCGTCTAACGCATCCAACGCCGTCAGTGTGAGCCGACCTCCACGCGTTCCTGATGCTCACGTTGACGAAACTCCCAACGACGTGAACGAGGGGCCTCTTGAAGATGAACATCAACCACGACATGGAGCTCCTGCGGCTGAGACGACTGACCATCCTGAGAGCCGGCCCGAAGGGAGTCATGCCGCGCCGCCAACCGTCATCTCCGGACAGAGCAATGCCATGCCCCTCAATCCGCTCGCGTTGAAGCTACTGCATTTCGTCCGGCGCGTGAATGGCGGAATGGAAATGGCCGAGGTTGACATCAACGGCCTGCTTCAGCTAGTCGTAGAGCCCGGCCTTGCGCCTCTTGTGAACTCGGAGCTCCGGAACTGTAAGGATCTGGAGCGGTTCGAGTTGGAGCGCTTGGCAGGGCTCAATCGCGGATGGTCGGTGGCGACCTTCGAGATTGACGGTCATCCACCACAGCGCTTGCTCTTCCAGAACTCAGCCCAGGTAAGCCGACTTTGCATTCAAGGCCGTGAAATGATGATGAGGCACACAGGGTTTGCATGTACTTAGTTATCCTTGTATTAACCGTACACCCACCTTCTCCGCCACGAACCATGCCTCTCCTCTCACCTGCTTTCGCCACCGTACACCAGGCATTCGCTGAAATGTTTGGACATCCCAACAACGCGCCCGGCTTCAAGCTCAAGGCGCGTGTAGATGAGGACCCTGACGCAGGCGGCCGTCGCTATACCACGCCCGAAACAGGAACGTGGTGGAATGATGCTCAGGTAAGGAAAGACCACGTTGCCACCCCAAACCCAATCCTGAGTCATGCATCCATCGCAGCACTGATCTCTCAAGAGCATCTTGAGTGTTAAACCGTGTGTCCGTTGCCGCTTTGTCGTGCACTGCAGGAACACTTCGGTTCGTCCGAAGTTGTGGGGGGGATCATCTTATATTCGGATGTGACGCACATGAGCAACAACGGCCGGAAAAAGGCGTGGCCGCTCATGATGACGCTGGCGAACATCGCCCAGGCCAAGCGATGGGGGAAAGCCGGTCACACACTACTTGCCCTCCTTCCAATCCCCCCATCTGCAATGTCTGCCGTGGAGAAGGTGATGCTCTTCCAGCGTTGCGTCATCACCGTGCTGCAGCCGCTTCTTGATGGCATCGCCAGGTCCGTACTCGGTTTGCATCTTGCTAAGACATCATCTCACCACCTGCATGGTATGCAAACCCTCTCTGTATGTAGCATGGCCCTTTGCCCCTCGTCGTTCCTCCCTAAAAGCCGCAACCTTGAATGCCTGTTGCCACTCACTCCATTCCTTGCAGCGGGTTCCGTCTCAGGGACCCTTTCGGAGATTGGCAAACCGTGCGGCCCCTGCTGTACGCCTGGGTGTGCGACTACCCCGAGAGCGGCAAAATCAGTTGCACACTCTCGCATGGATCGCGGATGCCGTGCAGCATCTGCTATGCTGCAAAGGTGAGGTCACATGCCATCTGCACGCATTCAATTACATTCCCGTTTGTGGCTCGCCTGAGCAAACCCACATAGCTACCACCCTTACCTTTTCTATCCCATCCCTCGGCCCCGTGCTACAACAGGAGCATCTGAGTGCTGTCAAGGCACGGAACACGCCGCGCACGCCTGAACAGCAGCAATGGATCGTTAACGAGGCGGCGGGGACGACAACTAGCCAGGACAACCCGTGCAAGGCCTACTCTACCTACCCTGTTGAGGTGAGTGACCTGTTTCCCCGGCCCATGAGTAGTCTATGCTCTCGCCCGCCCCGTCATGAATTGCCAGATGTGCTCTGCCCCATTGAACTCACCCGACTTGTGGTTTAGATTACCTATCCACTCTCACGTACATCTCTCCTCCATTCCCCACCACATCCCCATTTCCAGTGCGTGCTCTGGAAGTGGGATGTCCCAGGGACCGCGTGGGGCAATCCCTACCTCGTGGTGATGCCTGACATCATGCACCAGGCGGACCTAGGCATCATGAGCCACATTGTGGCTGTCGTGCGCAAGATGAAGAAGCGGCGTGTGAAGCAGATGGACAGTTCAGTGTTTTGGGGATTGGATTCGTTGCTCCTGGTCACAATTACTCAAACCATAAGTTCTGTCCTATTACTGACCTGTTTCTGCCCTTTTGGCGCCGCTGAACTGATGTGTATGGGCAGGCGCCTGTCTCTCATTCGCGACCGCACGCGCCTGAATCACATGCGCCTGCCGGAGAGCGCCTACTTCGAGACCGGCGCATGTGTGGCGGCCTATGAGCACAGGGCCGTCATGCAGGTATGAACCCTCCATTCCCTGTTGCTTGTCCTGGCCTAAACCCTCAAGCAGTCTGCTCATGCTGCCATTGTCCGTCATGCTCCACTCCTCACACCATCTGTGCTCACCCTCCCCTTTGCTGCTATCCACGTTCTTTGCA